TATGAAACAAATTATCTAAACGAACAAAGTTTTAGTTCTAAATTTTTGGTATAAGGTTATGTTTTCGATTGGTTATCATACATTTTCAAAAATAACAAGGCACAGGTTAGATTCTGTTATGTTAAGGGTGATTATGGACATAACTATATTAGATGCTAGTAGATTTATCAGTGGTTATTGTTATAAAAGTAGGTTGGTAAGTATTGAATGAATTTGTTTTAATATAATATTTATTCTTATACCTTATTTAAGAATATTCTTTTTTTTATATAACATTGTGTTGAAATTTATTTATTAGCTAATAATTGTAATAAGTAAGAATATGAGTATTTTGAACTACATGAACACTTTTAACTTTATATTTTCAATACATTTGGGGCACTCTTAATCCAAGTTCACGGCCGTAGCCTAACACTCACCCAGCTGAGAATCACTGATGTAGATTAAATACGATAATATTATGATAGCTTCTAAATTAAGTGGTTTAGGTAATAAAAACCACGCATTAACTGAAATGTAGTGATAAAATACCAAAGTGCCAGATGAAATAGATATACAGCAACAGTTTACAGTATCAACAATACATTTAGAACATAGTGATAGCCTCTACAAATGTACAATGTTAGGAATTGGAAGTATACACTTTTCATTTCTTAAAAAATACAGAGTGTACTCAGTACTTTTGTTTCTACATTATATACACGTAATCTACCTATTTTCTAATTAAATTACAAATAACTATTTGTATGCTTAATCAAAATTGATACTTAAGGCTTAATAATGTTAAGTAAAATAAAAATGTTATAATTATTTGAAAACAAATAAATATAAAAATTATTAATAATAAATAATTATATAAATATAAATATTAGTAAAATTAAAAAATAATTTAAAAACTATTGTTCAGGATTATCTTGAACATTAAATAATTATCGGGAAATAGATAGTATAGAATACTCTATGAATATTCTATGTATTTAATTCACAGGACTTTATTAACCTAACCTAACTTTTGGAGAGAAAAATATAAATAAATATTTTTTAATATATTCAAGAAGGTACCCATACAATAATATTATAAATAGTCTTAGTATAGGCATAACTAAATTATACTATTTTTAAATGCTGATTGTCCTCTTTCATAATAATCTATTACGACATTACGTTATAGTCTTTGTGAAAAATCAAATACCATTATTCATAAATAATAAATGTTCAATGAAGTGGATATTATAAGATAAGAACCTAACCTATTAAATACCGAAATTTAGACACACATAGTGTCCAATGTAAGTTTCTAAAACATTAAGAGTATATATTTATATATTTGTATTGCGATCGATTTTTATGCTTTCTGTACATTTAAAAATATCTTTAGTTGAATATTTGATCAAATTCAAAAGAAAGGCCTCTTTTATAATTGAAAAAATTCAATATAAAATTAACTAAAATTGAATGTTAAAAAAATTCATAGTTCAATTGATTATTAATTATTATGGTTTAAATTAATGTCAAGCAAAATAGTTATTATATATTTTTTTTAAAATACATTTCTGTTAAATTAACAATTAAAACATAATATGAACTGAAATAGTTAAATTGATTCTATAAGTACAACTTTTTTTTTCTTTTTACTTTTTTGATACTGCTATATATAGTTTTATTATTTAGAACTTAAAAATTAATTTAACTATATTAGAATATTAGATGCATATAGTATTGTACTTGATTAACTGTTGAAAATAAAAATGATAAGTACCTAATGATAGTGTCATAGTTACTTTACAAAGCCATGTTTTTAATAATTAACATTACAAACAAAAATTGCTACTAATAGGTTTATAAAATTCATATTTGTTAAATTATATCTAGCTATTATATTTTTATCATTTTAATATGTTAAGTAGATTTTAATTTGTTGTAGTGTAATGTAGTGATTATTTTACATTTAAGCTTGTGTTTGATATTTTAGTTTAATATCATTAAAATAATTTTAAATAATTTTAATTATTGAAACATATTTTTTTTGAAGAAACAATCAAAAGTTATTAATTATAAATAAGTTTAATCAAGCATATTCTTGTATGCATTGTTCACAATGGTAATTTGTGAAATATTTTGATAGAGTTAAAATTATTATCAAATATAATTATGTATATATGTAAATATAAATAATTGCTAATATTTTAGTCATTTTTTATACCTAGCAATAGTATCGTTGTAAGTGTTAGTTTTCCGACTGTTCAGTTTGGTGAAATCTTAAGATCTTACTAATAACTAACAAGGCCATAGCATTATGTATATTATTATTTATTATTCAATAAACAATTTTTTCAGAGAAAAAACACTAAAAAAAAAACGGGTAAGTGGGTATTGCTCTGCTGTACATTGGGGGTGGRGKGGACCTCTGACTAGGGTAGGTTAAATTTGAATGCAATGATAGGTACTTACATTGTATACGAAAAACGATTCTGAACGGAGACGGTTTATCTGTCTAAGATATATTATAGATTATTAAAAATTTTCAAATCTTAGATTTAAAAAGTATTGTATTAAATTTTCAAGTATTTTGATAGAGCCAAAAAAATTTTATCGACACTTCAAAAGAAAATTTTCGAAAAATTGAAAATTTCAGTTGTCTATAAATATCTCAAAAAAAGTCAAATATTTTTTAAATTAAATCATATAAAGAAAATGCCAATCTAAATAACTTGTGAAATTTTCAAGTATCTACCACTTATACTTCTTGAATAATTACAAATATTTAAAATCGTTGAGGATAAATCGTTATCGTTACGCTATTTCGTAAAAATTTAAAATTCAAACGCACTTAAAATTKTTCCTATAATGATGTTTCGAGTTTTCTCTATAGCTACTTGAAGGAAAACTAATAGAAAACTTAGTGTTGTATTTTTAATCCTTAGTTATAAACACAAAAAATTTTATGATTTTTCAACTTTAAAATTACTTGCAAATTTTCGCATTTTCGACAGATTTCGTAAAAATTTGAACTATAAACGCTTATTAAGAAAAATTGTGACTTACGATTTTAAATTTTTTTCAGCTACAATAAGAATAACTTATAAGGAACCTTGTATTAAATTTTCAAGTATTTTTGGTCATCCAACATTTTTTTACCGACACTTAAAAAAAAAAATTCAGTGGTCTATAAATTCAAAAACTAGCGTACCTATTTCTGGTATTTTTTTATTGATTTGTTTGCATTATTTATTTTTAGAATAATAATATATGATTTTCAGTTTTCGAAACCGAGTACCTATATCAAATAATTACCATTCAAATACATATTTTTTAGTGTTATACGATTGTGAACGTTCATATGGTACTTAAAGATTTATCTACATTTTTTATAAATGGTTTCATAAAMATTCACGTTAAATTAACTTTATTTGCGTCCAATGTTGCCAAATTTTATGAAATCTATACCGTAATTATCAAATTAAAATTAATTTACAAAACAATAGACAATCCACAGAATTTCTTCAAAACTTACTATTGCCTTTATTAACTGAGATACATTTAAAATTACAAATATACAATTCACATACACATTTCGATGTTTCTATTTTAATTTGGTAATGGTTTAAAATAATTTTTTCAAGACAATTTTTATATGAAATGGAACAATAGTTGACTATTCTGACACTATTATTAAGGTTATAATTAAATTTATACTCTTTAAATACGGATGAATATTTTTAAGCTTATCTATACAATATTTATTTTTATTTAATTGTGTTATTTTAAGAATTATGTAATTATTATTTTTAACAACGTTGGAACTTATTTAGTATAAAATAATATGTCGTATTTAATAGTTGTTATTAGACAATTATTAAGCCTTATAGAGTTTCCAAAAAAGTACGCACCTACGCCATAGATTTTACAATTTGATTTTTTTAGAATTAAACTTAATTTATGACATTTTTATTTTTTAATTTATTTTTTAATAGAATATATACAATCTGTAAATTAGTTTTTTACAATAAGAATATGAGCTATAATAAGTATGACATGAGTTGCTCGATAAAAGGAGTAACCCAGCGGCTACACTTTACATTGATTTAATTGTTATGTTAGATATATTATATATATATATATATATATTTTTTTTTTTAAAGTGATTAGGAGTAAAAAGGGATACCTATGTAAAAGGGGGCCTTAGTTATCATGCGTAAGGTGATTGATTGGAATCTTTGTATTTTGTTTCAATTTGACAATTTGGCCGCACCCCATAGCTGGATGCCATAAGTCCATATAGGCATGAGAAGTTGCTTATAAATGAGTAGTTTGGTAATGAGTTTGAGTTTGGAATGATTACCTATTAAATAGTGTAGTGATTTCCTCCTAAGATTTAGAGTATTGCGTTTGATTTTTATATGTTCTGCCCAGGTGAGTCGCTTGTCTAGGGTTAGGCCTAGATAATGAATGTTGGAGACTGTTGGTATTGTTTGATTGTTTAGTTTAACAGAAGGTTTTTCACCCTGTCTTAAAGAAAAAGTAATGTATGATGATTTTTCATTGTTAATTTTAACTTTCCATTTAGTATACCAGGAAGATAGGCTGTTTAGKTGGTTTTTTAAGTGTTAAGACATTTTAAATCGTAATATTTATAAATAAATATAATTTATATTTTAGTAATAATAATATTTATTATAATAAATATTTACTCCTAAAAATATTTATGATACGGCCCATATAATATTTAAAAATATTTTATTTGTCAGTTTCAGACATATTCAGCCCTGGTTCAGTTTTTCCTATTTTTTTTTCTTTGCAAAAGTCATTAAATATCATTATTAAGGCACCTAATAATAATATAATTACTTCTTAAATCATGGTAAAAATGTAATTATTTGTTTAAAAATATATGTATCGATATTTATTTTATAAATATTTACCTTAATTATCAAATTTGCCATTGTACATAATATTGTATAGATTGTAAATTACTTAAATATATATAAAAAAAATAATATTTACCTAGTAAATACCATTCACCGTTCGTTGTAAAGTCTGATAGATCGCCACCATCTGATTTGAGCACTAAATCAATCTGAAAATATAATTTTAAAATATTGAAAATGCATACTAGAAAACAATACATACAAATTTTACAGATTATTGGCTTATATTTTCATATTTTAATTTTAATATGGTACCTACATTATTTAATAATTACTAAGTATAATATATAGTAATAGCCAATAGGTTATAATAATAAAAAAAAAATTATGCATTTTATTATATTAGTTGTTTTATGTTGTGAAAATTATCATTCTGTGATATTTGTCTGTAGATGATTATAATCTATTCATTAATTTTTTAATATAATTTACTTTGGATGGTTTTAAACACAATTATAATTTTAAAAAGGTACATTCAACGAAAGCGTAAAAAACGAAAAGTATAATATGCAACATGAAAGTGTAATAAAAATGCAAATTCATTGATAACAAAAGAAATAAAAAGAGATTTTTAACAAGTTATAAAGACCCTTTTCCCATATAAGCTCAAAAAGCGATTTTAATTAATGAAAATAATTTTTTTTTTTTAAGACCTTTTAAATTGTAATCATGTTTTTATACTCTGTAACTCGAAATAAATATCATTAACCATTATAAGTAGGTACCTACCAATATGTAAAAAAAAAATTTAATTCAAAACAATAGTTGAAAACATAAAACTCTAGAAAAATTTAATTTAAATAGGTTATAGGTATATTATATGGATAATTATTATATTAAAACTTTATTCCATGTGTATCCAAATCCAATATTGTATATTAGAAAATGAATAAGTTTACCTGAAAACCATTGTATGTCCAACTACCAAACTTCATATTGCAATTTTGGTCATCAAATGGGAACCACGTGATGTCGATTTTACATGTACTTTTAAAAATACCTGGTGGAACGTACAGGCATGTACCATTATGCCTCACAACCACATTGGTTTGATAAGTCCCATCAAATTTTTCGTCGGCACTGTTAGCATTAAAAAAAAAAAATACATTTAAGTTAATCTTTGATTACTAAATATCAACATGAATGCGTATCTGATTAGGTTTTTTTCCATTGCAATAGTAAAAAAAAATGTTTGTAAGAAATACTTCATAACGGATGGAGTAACCTTTAAAGTGTAGGTAGGTCCTTCATACCTATATTCGTATTAGTTGTTGAATAAATGTTTAAAAACAAGTGAATAGTGATTAAAACATAAAAATAATGTATAAAATATAATTATGAAATATTGACTAATTTTAAAATTATCTATATATAATATGTAGATTATAACTTAACACKTATTTTTTTCGGACTATATTAAAGTGATTTTACCTTCACATGACATTTAAATGTTTTAATATCGGAGATGTAAATTACCATWTATGATGAACATTTTCCTATTTATTTTATAAATAACAAGTAATTAGTAGTTTTGTAACTATATTAATAATAAATATTATATACAATTATAGACATGTGTGATATTGTATTTTAAATTGCAGATATAATATCTAAAAATTATTAAATACATTATTAAACAATTTTTAGAGTGATTTTAGAGTTAATTTCATTTTAAAAATAGCGTAAAATTTTTGAATTATTTAAAATATACTTTTTTTATATTATATCCAAATGTATCAAATATATCATACTGAAAAATTGAAAAATAGAGTAGGTACATTATATTTTCCATCATTTTGGTGAATCAAAAAAAAAAAAAAACTAGAAAATCACGATACCGGTGTCCCAGGCATATCTTACCCCCGGATAATGTTACTGGGGGGAGGTAAGATTTTCCTAGTATAATCTTAGCCCCGATAAGAATACCCTTGGATAATCTTATCTCCCGGTAAGAATTTCCCAGGAATATTATACCGGGGGCCCTCCGGGCTTGCTTAAGGGGATAATTTAATTTTAATACATTACCATTAATAATTTGTTTTAATTGTAATTTATTGATTTATTAAATAAAAAAAAAATTACCTTCCTGGTAAATTTACTAGGTATAAATTTACTGATCTTACTTCTATACCTAAATGTATAATATTGCTAGATAGACCATAGTCCGATACCTAAAAAAATAAGTTGGTTAAAATACTGACTTGGTGTATTATTTATTTTTATTACGAATTTAGTAGGTGCCTATAGTTTTATAATACCATCGATCTAAAGTTCCTTATTAATTTTAAAAATAAATTTAGGTACATTGTTCTAAAAAAAAATTTAGTTTGTTATATCTTCCGATATTCTTAGGACTATTGTGGAAATAAATAAAAATAAAACTAATCCAACCACTTCTGAGTTGGATAATTAAGTAGGTATATATATATATATATATATATTTTAAGTGTTAAAAAATAAATCAATTAAAAAAAAAAATTATTTTTGCAGCGTTTTAAAACTTAATATACTCCTAGGAATATTATACCGGGAGGGGGTAAAAATATCCTAGGCAAATCATACCCCCCTCCCGGTATTTTATTCCTGGGAAATTCTTACGGGGGGTAAGATTATACTAGGAAAATCTTACCCCTCTGGTAAGAATATCCTGAGGGTAAGATTTACCTGTTACATCCGTCTGCCTTTACTATCATTAGACTCGGTAAACACAGTAAAATTAAACGTGATTTTTCATAGTGTCATGATTTCCAATCTTAAAGATATACACGAATTATTGTGACTATAAAATCACGTCGTGCTGTACATGAAGATAACCATCTCGTTAGTCGTCGTTAGTAAAATATATACAGACTAACAGTGACTCATTTTTAATGGTACCTACTTGTTTATTAGAAATTATTATACATCTAGTTATTAAATATGATCCAACTATAAATCATTATACTGATATACTGACTAAACAATGATCAATCAATTTAGGACTCTATCTGAAGGCCCTAGAAATTGTCATGTATGTATATTGTCGTCAATCTACTCATTTATGAAATTTTTTTATCTTTGAATTTTATATTTTCAATCTTGTTAAAATCTAGTTGTACTTTATTTTTACTTTATAGTTACAGGCTTAAACCCATTTTCTGCGTATTACATATAGTCTGCCTTTTATATGTATTATGTATGACGTGCTAGATATAGTAAAATTAATTTGGTAATGGTCCAATACTCGACACTACAAATAAATTTGTAGTGGAAGATTCTATCTACCATGTGTATGGTAAAGTGTGAGGCTAAAGTCTAAAAAATTATGATATACAAATTTTATGGTGTAAATGTAAAATAATTTTAGAAGTAGTAAAATTATGAGTTTCTATTTTAGTTGAAAAAATTGTGTTTTTCTTGTCTTAAATTTATCTGCCAAAATTAAAAATTGAATGAATTTGACTTGGGGCAATAATAGTAACACATAATCAATACATTGTATAGACATGCATTATGTAATACACTAATACAGCATTATATTATGTATTCCTCTACTAGATTGATAATTGAAGAATAATAGCGGAGATCCTGCCACCAAAACGTTACTGTTTTTGACAACTTCTTGGCAAACTACTTAGGAATGAAACTTTTTGTCGTTARAAAAATGAGATATAAATAATTTTGATGACTTCTAAACTTGTGTAGAATTAAATTTTGAGGCGAGTTTATAATGTTTTTATACCTATAATTTAAACTTTAAATAAAGTTTAGTCTCACATTCTCCACATAATTTAATAGTATGTTTAACGATAAAAATTGTAGATATATTAAAATTTAGTATAGAATACGCTATCGATTTTATCAATCAGATATCAATTTCACATAATATTGAAAAATTGGAAATATTTCTCATTCCTATTATTATGCTTATATTACTTTGTCTTACCTAACATTATTTTTTGTATACTTAATAAGTAAAAGTTCCACATAATTTGGTCTGGTAAATTATATCCGGTGGCCAGAGCCGGATTGGTATATATCAGCCCATCGAAATTTTCACTTCTAAGCGCCCCATTTACATATTCACTGGCCCAAAATTCGGGTCTTTATTATTTTTTATTGGTTTATTACGTCTAAAATCGTTACGAACTTATTTACTCATCCTAACATGTGTTTATTTTCAYCCACACTCTGACACTACCRGCCCTAACTTTAAGCAGCCCACCGAGATTTCTCGGTAGCTCGCCTAACCAATCCGGCCCTGCCGGTGACATTTGATCCGATTCAAAAAGAACTGGTACTAAAAATATTTGACTAAAAAACGCCCGGAAAAAAAATAAGAATAAAAATATATAGAAGTTGTAATTGTAATTTGTTTTCATAACTTTTAAAAACGTTAGATAAAAAAAAAAATAATAATCAGTTATATAT